CTTACTATTGGGTTAAGGTTAGGTTAACTTCAGGTAAAGGTTGCTAAATGCTGATGGTCTCACAGTGCCAGATCCCACCATGTTGTGCCCGCATAATCCAGGTTTATTGCCACAGTTTACAGTCTTTAGCATATAGCTTGTTAGCTTGTTTCCCATAGAAACAGGCACTCTGAAAACAGCAACACAACTGAAAGGGAGAGTACAAGGAAGCAGGATACAGCCATTGGCCAATGGGAGGCTTATCCACGCTGTGCACACCCTCATGTAGGGAGAAGGTAATGGTCGGAGTAAGAGCTAAGATTAGGCCTGTAGTAATGATGGGTGGATGTGGCTGTTATAGGGTCCTCACCATGTGCGTGTGTAGTTTTGCTTTTTCTGGATATTCTTGCAGGCATTCGTGTCTGACTGTGCTGTGCCGTGACATTTAACTGTCACTTTGCAACCCCAGCTTGCATTTTTCTGTAGGCCCAGCGGAGTGAGTTGGCACAGTTACCTCTATTGTACACCAGTATCTGTAGAGAGACACACCAGGGACAACCGTGCCACATTAATATGTGTATGTATGTATAGTGTATAAAGAAGGTGACTAATGGCTTTTTGTTATGTGGAAAGCAGAGCAGTTGGATTTTGAGCCCATTTTAAGCCAAACAGTACTCAGTTCGTGCAAAATTAGAAACTTACTAAGCTGTTATGATGTGTTCTGACAGCTGTAAGTTTGGGGAGCCTTGACACAGCCTAGTGATCTAAGATGCACACCATGTAACAGCCCCGAGTGTCCCTGAGACACATCTGACACGAGGATATGTGTTGTATGTCATCCCGCCCCCCCTCTCCGTCTCAACTATCAAATAAAGGCAAAAAAATAATCCAAAAGTTTATAGATCCGCAACAACCAGTGGCAGCAGTAAGGGACAACATTTTCCTGCTACACATGCACAAACATACATGCACACTAAAAGACATAATAAATGGATTATTACACACACACGAAGCACTAGTCTGACCTGAAGCACAGGAATCTGAAGTAATATGAGGCTCCTTCTCACTGTGATCCCAGAATTAGAACATCCCATATAGTGTGTGTGTGCGAGCGTGTGAGAGAGAGAGAGAGAGAGAGAGAGAGAGCAAGAATATGCACATAACTGTTTTTGATGTCACTGTATCAGTAAACCCAGGTTGGTGTATTCACCAGAGACACAGATTTCTGAAATTACGAGTTATTAAAAAAGTAAATCAGCACAAACAATGAACACATTTATGACTAAGTCTCATTCTGTCAGTTAGGACACTTTACTGTAATCCCTACAGCAATTTACTCATTTTGAGAAATATGTGCAATATGAGCTCAGCCACACTGTTTTAATGAGCCTGTTTTGCTATTTAAAAAAAAGTTCAAATAGTTATCGTGACTCACTTTTCTTCACCTTTGCAAATGTGTTAACACCATTTTAAATTCCTCCCCAAACATGTCTCACGTGTCCCACGCAGTCCCCTCTACAACATTAACTACAACCAGAATTTTAACATAAACTCAACTGTAGAGCCTTCAACTCAGCCTTCTGGGAACAAAACCTGTTTAAAAGTCAAGCAAGCTAAGAGGAATTTCAATTGAGCCTGAGTGAAACACTTCACTCTTTGTCCTAAAATACATTTCTGTTGACAATTAAGTGAAATTAAATTAGATTTTGTTTAAACTCTAAACATTAAATTTCACTGGTTAAGGAGGCTGTAAAGTGAAAACAATACGTGTAACCACAGCAAGCAAGCAAAAGACGAAGAGACAGTTAAACTTTAACACTGAGAACTTATGATGTGCGTTAATCTTTTGAGAGACTCAACAGGCGCACACACTCCAGTATACATGCTCTGGGATATAAGAAAGAAAGCACTAATGCACTTGCAAAAATGACATAAAATCACATTTTGTATGGCAACACAAGGCTATCATGGTGCTAAAGCAGCTAGTTTTCCTGTGATATCTGAAAATGTTTCAAGCCATGATTTATTGCAAGGTTACTACAGCTGTTTCACCATGTCTGCTCACTTGTTTTTGAGTGTACACTGGGGGTATGTGGGTCTGTATGATTATTTATTCATTATGCCTGTCATCACAGTGTGTGGGGGTAGTTTCTGGATGAGAGACATGGCAAACATACAGCTCACTTGCTAGTATGGATGGACATTATTATAGTGTCTGCAGTAACAGAAGCAACCAAGAGTTATGCAATCTTAGTGAACATTCAGTTTACAGCAGACTCAGATAATATTGTCAGAATATCAGGTTCCAGTTGCAAATCAGCATGTTATAGAGTAACCTACAACATGGCAGGCTTGCCCACTGTATGATGATAGTGCTGCATTTCAGACTGAAGGCTATGGTAAACACTATGCAACACATGAACTTGGAAACTGCTGTGGAGTCACTTTCAGAGCAAAAGTGATGCTCCACTATAAATACCACATTTGTGCAAATTCTTCTCATCGTCGTTGGGAGGTCACGTCTCCACAATTGCAGCAGCACAGCCTGTCTACACTTTCATGTTGCTTTACACCATGCAATGACTGCCTCAACTCTTTCTAGAAAACCCAGTTTTGCATTCTTAACTGCCTGTGAGCTGTGGGCCAATAATTTCAATACAAGCTGCCTTCTTAAAATATTCCGTCAGCACCAGTTGCAGAAATTGATGATGGGCTGGTAGCCGAATAGTTCCAGATCTAATTTCTGAAATCTCTAAACGATCCCTCGTTTTCAGATGAGGAAAATAAAAGCTAGAAGTCCTAATCTGGGATGAAAATATCAAAAGGCTTTTCACACATCAAGCAAAACCTCGATCTGAGGAGCAGGAGAAAAGTAGCGCGCACCTCTGGATAAGTCACTTACCTCACGCACTACACCACAGCACCAGAACAAACATTTTCACAGACATCCACAGAAGCGCATCAAAAAAATGGGCTAATAATAAAATCCTCATCAGTTGCAAAAGAACAGCAGCAGCCAGCCCAGGGAGATAACTCTTAATGCGAGAGCGACATGGCACAGCATTTCAGGGCATTAGAGACAGGTCCCTTGGTCCAGTTCTGCTCCTCTGCCCCCCACCCCCCCATATGACGGCACGTTAGCTCAGGTACAGTGAGCCGCACGCTCTCGGTTTGACAAACCGGGGCTGAGAGGAGATGGTGGTATCGCTCCGCTGCTGATGGTTCCTGAACTGCGCCTCAGCCTCACCGCCGGGCTGCACAGGCAGAGAGCTGCAGCACCGCTACGCATCACGCATACTCTGCCCGAAACGGGGTTTTGATAACCCTCCGACGGTTCCTCAAAAATTCATGTGCGTAATTGTCGGTGGAGCTGTGGGGCACTATTTTTAATGTTGTGAGCAAGGATAAAAAGATGTAAAGGGGCAAGCCGGAAAAAGCCGCTTTTCGAGGCGTGGGCTGCCTGGTTTTAAAGGAACAGACCGAGATGCACAGCAGCAGAGGATACGCTTTGGCAAGTGCGCCTGTCTAGAGGAAGTTCACACACAAACAAACACACAGTTCCCGCTCGTTTTATTGCAGCCCTGCGTTTAGGGAAGCGGACTAGCGAAGGAAAAACATACCTAAACTCAGTTTGCCTTCCCCAGTATTTATTGTGGTTACCATTCTCATAACATAAATAAATAGGCTACCTGTATTTGACATTATTTTGAATTAACTTAAATACTCCAGTTATCACTATTAGTATTTATACATAACTAAAGTCAGTAGCCTAGGGAATAAATTCACATGTCTTTTATGTGAAATAAAATCCAGTATCCATTTTGTTAATGAATGTAACCTACTGAGTAAATCCTATTAGCTGGATAGCTTCATCCTGTACATTACAATAGACTTAGTGTGGCATCTCATTGTATTTAACAGGCTCATTGCCCATGTGGCTTTACCCCCAGTGTTAATAATTGTGTCAACCTAATGTTCTCCTCAGTGACATGGTGTAACCACAGGAGAGATGTGCTTGGTCATTATGAGGAAATAATGTGTTTCCAGTTTACCTATGATACATATTGGAGTGCTAAATATTTTTTTAGCTGTATGTAGTATGCTTCCTATATGCAGAATTCAAACTTCTTGTATCATATCCACAACCTTATTGTTGTGACCAGAGACAACCTTAATGAGCCCAATATGACATGGTGCATTATTCCGGCAGCAAGACAGGGGGAGACTGACGATATAGAAGGATCGTCCTGGTCAGCACTCCCTCTGATCATCACTGTTGTAGCAAGCCATTTGTACATGCAGCAGGTTGTTACTTTAAGAGTTTAAAGTTACTTTAGTTGGTGAAAATGTCAACAGGCACATGTTTCCGTGGTAACAAGTGATGTGTCTGCATAGCATTACTGTAAATAAAAAAGTACTTAAACCTTAAGGTCTCACTGTTTGGAATTAACTGCATTATCTGAGGTAATAAAGTGACCAGTCAGTGTTCAGCATGTCAGCACGATCTAATGTTATCCTGCAATTAAAAAGCACAAATTAATGTTTCTGCAACCAAGAGGCTGGCAGCAAAGAAAACTTACTGCAGGCCGGTGTTGGAGGTGGAAATCCCCTGGAGGCCAGAGGCACAGGCGGAAATCCACTGGAGTGTGGCAGCGGAGGCAGAAAGCACCTGCGGCTGGCGGAGGCAGAAACCCTCTGGAGACCTGCGGCGAAGGTGAAACCCCTCTGGAGGCCAGTGACATGACTTAAGACCTGGACCAGAGTCTGATGGCTGGTGTGCGGACCAGACTCAGGACAGAAAGCGACAGCTATGAGGAAGAGCTTGTGGAGCCAGGGAAACAAGAGGCTGCAGTAGCTCTGGGACATGGGTCTAGCATTCTAGCTCTAGGGAATGCTACAGCTCAGTATCGAAAGGACATTGCTGCATCTCAGCAGGGGTGACTACAGTTCTGACTCAGGGGATTTCTGCAGCAGAGAAGCCAAAAAAATCATAAGCAAGTCAGGTGCAGGGAATTGGTGCAGGTCAGCAGTGACAGGGAGTTGCTTTAGCTCAGCAAAGTCAGGGGTACCTGCAGTTATATGACTGGGGACTGCTGTATTTCAGCAGGAATAGGATGTTGCTACAGCTCAGCAGGGATAGGAAGTAGCAGTTCCTCAACAGTCACAGCAAGTTGCAGCAGTACAGTAGGGGATGTTGCTGCAGCTTAGCAGCAGTCGGTGAAGAACCAGGAACAGGTGTTGGCTGCCGGGCTGCCGACTGGACACTGGGAGCAAGAGTCCAGGAGAAGAACCAGGCAGGACAGGTGGTACCTCTGTGGTACTGATCCATTGAGTCTCTGGGGTGCTAGTCAGCACAATATCTGGAGGGTTGTCTCTGAAAGTCTCTGGAATGCTGGACAGCTGAATCTAGGTAGAGTTGGCCAACAAAGTCTCTGGGGCTCTGATCAGCTGAGTCTCTAAGGAGCTGAATTGCAAAGTCTCTGGAGTGCTGATCAGCTGTCTTTGGGAAGCTGAATCTCCGGGAAGCTGAACAGCTCAGTCTCTGGGGCACTGAGCAGCTGGGAGCTGGGCAGCAGCGTGGACGTGGAGCAGAGCACGGGAGACTCTAGGGCGCTGAGGTTTGGAGAGGCATGGGATCGGTGAGAGCCCCGCTTCCTTCTGGAGTGCTTCACGGAAGGTGGCTCCAGGGCAGGATCCGGCAGGAAACTGAACTAAGTGCAGGTGAGTTGCTAATAGGCTAGTGCAATGACTGGTGGCTAGTGGCCTGGTTGGCAGCAGGCTGGTAACCCAATTACAGAACACACAAGCAGATCAGATGCAGTATAATATTTATTGAGAAACAACAAAATTAACAGGTAGCAGGGAAGCAGTCTAAAGCAACCAAATCCAAGTGGCACAGACTATAATCCAAAGTCCAATAAATCCACAAATACAAACAGACACACACTGAAGACAGGTAGGGACACTCAACAAAATCACAAAGACAAAACAAGAGCAGGAAGGGAAGTGACCAGAAAATAGAGAATAGGAAAACACAAAAGTAAAAACAGGAAACAAAGAATAAAATGGTGCGTTTCAGTTGTACCGGGAAGGTGGAATTTCAATCGGAAATTTCAACTGGAACACCCCCTTAAGTTGGATTTCCAACTCAGAAAGTCAGGAGAACCGCACTACCTCCGACCTCGTGATCCAAGATGGCTGCTCGTTTGTCTCAACAGTTAGTTAAAGTTTAATTTTTTTATTAGCACCTCCGTGTAATTGTGTCTCATAGAAATGATCCTACACAAAGTACTGTCCAACCACTGTCTGCGCACATGTTGCTTGGTTTTAGTGAAAATGTTTTAACAACTGTTGGATGGATTCATTCCATTCCAAGGATGACTTGTAATCTAGTTCAGGTCAACATTTTACAATACTGAATACCTGCAAAACCAACGACATTCCCATCAGCCTCAGCTATACTTTTTTGTTAATTAGTACATGTTAGCATGCTAACACACTAAACTAAGATAGTAAACATAGTAAACATTACCCGATAAACATCAACACATTAGCACTGTCAGTGTGAGCATGTTAACATGACAGATGCAGTGTTTAGCTCAAAGCACTGGCTGTGCCTAAGTACGCCCTTACAGAGCCGCTAGCACTCTTGTTATTTTATCCTTTATTCACACAGGGAACTCCATCAAAGGTATTCACTTTGGTGTCCTTTTTAGTTAGCATACTTACTGTATAACAGAGATAATGATGGAAGTGCATGTGTCCTCGTCCAAAAGTCAGCTAGAGGGTCTTGCCCTGACTTAATGGATCAGGATGTCTAATCTAAATGCTCTCTGATACATGCTAAATTCTCAGGCTTACCGATACCTGAGCCTTTTTGAGACCTTATACAGTGGTAAGCATCTCTATTAAACAGACTGTATTGCTGATCTGTGTGCAGATGCCCTGGGGCCATCATGGGAGGAGCTGGAAAGGGTGATGCTGGCTGTGAGGTTACTGGTTCATGGACTAGTGGAATTCATACAGAACTTCAGCAAGAAGAGCAAAGACACTGCACAGGTACAGTGATGTGATAGTGTGGATTGCCATATACAGCAATTTAAAAAGGACAAATTGTAATCTTGTCAGAAAACCACCAGGTCAATTTCTTTGTTGATCTGATACTGTGATACTTGTGTTTTTTTTGTTAATTAGCAAATGTTAGCATGGTAAACATTACACCTGCTAAACACCAGCATTAGCATTGTCATTGTGAACTATTTAGCATGCTGAATTTAAGTTAGCATTTAGCTCGCACCACTGTGCCCAATACAGCCTCACAGAGATGATGGCTGTAGACTCTTAGCTTATTTGCTTCCTTGGCTGAGCTGAATAGATGATTTTCGTATTTCACGCAGTTGGTTGAATGAAAGATGATTGTGCTTTTTAGCTTGAGAGAAATATTATACAAAAGTACATTTCATTGTAATATTTTAAGCTTTATTTATTAAGGATAGTTCTGGTAGGAGCAATGCCATTTTTATTCAGGAAAAAGCTGCGCGACACTCACATAAACATATTCACACCTGTACAACTGCAGTCTGATCTGTTACCTGCTGTACAGGCTCTACTCAGCTCATCTGGAGCAGTTGGGGGTTGTGGGCACTGCTCAAGAGAATTTCAGCGGTGGTTATGAGGGCGGGGCAGGTGCTGCTTTTTCATCTTCATGCTCCTTCCTTGCAGCTCATCATAAGTGGATACGTAAATGTTTTAATTTCCATAAGACCAAAGAAAATGACATTTTCTCAATATACTAATCAGTTTTACCACTATTAATCCCTGTCTCTGTATCTACCACTACTCCTTCATCCTCCTCATATTTTATACCTCTCTGTCTCTCATTCATAATGGAGGTGACCCAAATGCCTACTGTATGTGCGCATGGACCATGTCAAATTCAGTATTTTGTCTTATAACATTTCTGGGATGAGAGGATAAAAGAAGGAGAAGGAGGGATGTGAAGGGAAATAATGGAGTGAGAGAGCATGGAAACCCTTTCAGCCACGCGGGAAAACCCACTCCTTTGTAATGGAAAGCTCAGCGAACCACACAAAATTTCAGCCTAGTCAAATTGTGAAGCAATGGTTGTCTGTGAACCCTAGCCTCATTTTTATACAGGCACACTGCCTGTATTGAATTGAACCTTACAGTGTTCAGTTTGTCCAAAGATTAAACAAACAAGCCAAGAAATAGTCTTTTAAAAATAAAAAGGAGTTTTATTTCTTTTTTAAGTAACAAGGTTTTCTCCAGAATTTGATGCAGTGATTACACCAATGTTCACATGTTCACTGACTTACAACGTTTTCTCTCTTATAGTTTACATAGTTACATATAGCTTATCTTCATGGTAAAGCAGAATGATCTTTGGCTGTAGAGGTAACAGAGGCACACATTCATGGTAGTTGGCTGTACACACACTCTTAAAATGCAAGAGCACTCTCAAAGATATTGGAAACAATGCCAAAGTCAACCCTATATGAGATTGCATTCACTATTATACTTGGCAGATCATATACCGTAAGAACATTTGTACATTACGTTTGTACAGGACTTAATTGTCTTGTATCCACTGAATGCATGACCTCAGTGATTCTCAGTGTGATGGCAGACACTGTTGTAGCAGAAATTGAGATAAAAAATGAGATAAAAAAATCAATGTAACACATTTGTCTTTATAGAAATGCCTCATCTTTATAACCCTCCAAATCACGGTAATGTGTGTCACATAGCTTATTGAGCTTTCTGACAACATATTTGACGTGCGCCAAAAATAATATCGAAACAAACTATTAAGACCAACTGCATTAACTTCTTTATCCTCAGTCAACAGACTCCTCAAGCACATTTTGCAGGCTACTCTTACCTTGAATGTCCTTCAGGTGGCGCCTGAGACTTGGCTTGTGTGCAAAGTTTACAGCACAGTAGTTGCACTTATGGGGCATATACCCTGTGTGCAGATTGAGGTGGTCTTGCAGCGTGGCCTTCTGGGAAAATGTCTTGTGGCACAGCGGGCATCGAAAAGGCTTGACACCAGTGTGGACGCGGATGTGGCGGGTCAGGTTACTCTTTTGGGAAAAGCCTTTCCCACAGACCAAACACAAGTACTGTCTGTGCTCCTTCAGGTGGCCCACATAGCTCTCTAGGTGCTGGAAGACTCTGTCACACCTCCTGCAGAGGTATGGCCTCTGGACCAATATGCTGTCTGAATCTTCTGTCAGCTCATTTCCAGAACACTGACTCTTTGGCAGATGTGCTCCAGAGAGACAAAATAGATTTGAGTCCATCAGCTCTCCACATTCTTGCAGTTGAGCTGCCAGCAATAACATTTCTTCCTCCTCACTTTGCTCTTCCCCTGGTTCTTTATCTTGGTTGTGGGAACTGTCCAGCAATTTTTCATGTTGAGCAGAACTTCCTCTGGGTGTGGAGAATACATGATCTCTGACAGCTGTAGGAGGGCACAGCTTACATCTTAGGGCACCTGTAATGCACTGATCCTGATATGACTCCAGAGTATCGAGACAGCACGCTGTATCTTCAGATAACACTTTCTTAGCTATAACCACCCTCCTAGCATCTCTGACCTCCCTCAGTTCTTGACCATCCACCTTGGCTCCTTGCCTGACCCTTGCTTTAATAACAACCACTCCCTCTTCCTCAGTATTTGGTTTCTGGATGCTGGGGTGGGCTACATCCCTTTCCTCCTTATTTGTGAGGCTCTCTGGCTCCTGGATTTCCTTCTCCTCTGTGTGTCTCTCCAGTTTCAAGAAAGCCAGCGTGGGACTGAGGTACTGGGAGACAGCCTGGGCACACTTCTCCACCACCTGACTCATCTGGAGCCCACTAGCTGCAGTCAGGTAGCTCACCAGCTCTCTCAGAGGGACCTGCAAAAATATATATAATGGAAACCAAGGAAAAAGTAACAGTAAAAGATTAATTCTTCTTCTTGCACACTTTAAACACACTAGCAAGAACAGAACTACAACCTTTGAGTAAAGTCTTCTCAGTCATCTTTAACTTTCATATTACGTAACATTCTTCTGTTGTCATATGTTCCTTATTTGTGTTTTGGTACTGTATCTCTTGATGTTTTTCTTTTAACCTGTCATTCTGACACTCTGTTTTGCAGGGGTTTTATATTCATAGTACAGAACAATATGTGGATATGGCTATAATCTGGATATTCCACTCTGTTTTTACTGTAAAGAGTTCTGATAAATAGTAGATTATATCGCACCTCTAACAACCCGGTGTAGCAGGACAGGAGAAGTCTCTTCCCAACCTCCACACTGCAAACTACACCCACTCTCAGCTCAGCCTGGCCTTCGTGGAGCAGGAATTGGTCACGTAGGAAATCAGAGGATGCTGCAAGCACAACTCTATGACCGTGGAAATAGAGAGGCTGGACAGTGGCGCCTTGTGGACCCGCAAGGAGGAGTGTGATATCACAGAAGCGGTGTTCCTCTCTTAGAGCATTCATCTTGCTGAGGATGGAGTCACCGTGGGTGGGGAAGCAAAACTGTAGAGTGTCAGAAGAGCTTGACATGTTGGTGTGTCTAAAGTGAAAAGGATATTTGGTACAGTTTGTTAGAGTGTGAATGCAGAAAAGCTGCGAGCTGTATAGATTAGCTTTATTATTCCATAATTACTTTTCATTAATCGTTGGGTTCAGGTTGTGGGTCTTCTACTGTTAGCGCATTTTTGAAATTTAAACATGATAAAGGTTTTGACACTCCTGGAAACTACAGACATGAGGCCTACACCCACAGATTTACAGCTAAATCACAATTCCTACATCTGTTCATCATTATCATTAGATGGTTTTGGTCTGCAATTAAGCTAAATCAATCAGTAAATCAGGAAAATACCAAAGAGAGAGAATGCACATGATCGTGATGAACTCGGCCCCACCTTTCACTGCAGGCTCATCCCGTGATGACGGAGCCAGCGGGTGAGAAAAGCTGCTTTTCTTGGTTGAAAACCACAAGTAGCTCTGAGAGAACAAGGAGACTCTTTTCGTGTGATCCCTGACAGTTTAAACACAATTAAATGAAAACGTAAATGGGCTACACATGCAAAAGGATGAGATGCATCTTTCAGCGGTGAAGCACCAGTAATCCAGACTTCCTCCAGCTTTCTGCTGAGGATCTTGAATTTAGACAGCAGTGTGTGTGTTGCGCAGGAGCACATGAACTAATTAACTCCTTCAGTGCCTTTTTTTTTTACAAAGGCACCAAGGGGTCCTGAGAAATATTGTATACTGAGTTTTAGCCTACCCAAATGGAGTTTATGTGCAATTCAGTAGCTGAAATACGTGCAAATGATAATGCCAAGACTAGATCTACAATAACTCGTTCACTTGCACAGTGCACACGTGGTGCCTACTCTGGGGGAAATTGTATATTGAATTTTGACCAGAGACCAATTTTTACACTTTTTAAACACATTTTCAACTGCTGACTATGTTTGCAATGCAATAATTTGAATTACTGTCTATGTATATCTTTATTTGTTTGGTATATAAGCATGTTAAAAAAATCAACAAGATTTTTCTTTAAATTGTCTAAAAACTATATCAAAGTATAGGCTTGGTCACCCCAGGGCTTTAAAGCTACAAATTACTGCTGTTGAGCTGAGCAACAGTCTTAACAAGAAACTAAATTAAAACGAAAAAATGGTTCTAATTCTGCTACAAAGGCTTCACTTCCTGATGTTGATTAGGCTGTTGTTCAAGTGACTTCCTGTATACGGATGACCATCGTGGTTGACGTCCACCATCTTGTCTGCTGCAGGCTCTTGGGCTGTCATTGTATTGTTTATTGTATTGTCTGCCTTTTTGGTAGCCCGTTTTCCCATTTTATTTTATGTGAAGAACTAAAGTCATAACCTTTCCTCTATGGGGAAGTGTCCCAGGCAGAGATTAAAGCTAGTCCTAGACTGAAAAGGCCTTTTACACAGACTAACAGAAATCTGCTTTCTCTGTCATGTTGTAAAATAGTCCTAGACTTCGCCTAGAGTCTGAATAAGATAGAGATGCTTCAGGACTAAATTGAGGCTTAAATTAAACCACCCAGGAGGCAGGTTTAATTTCAGATTAATGCTGTTTGTTAAAGAAGACACATGGATTACCTGGAGTACGTCAATGAAGATCAAGGAAAATCACCAGCTAGGCAAGTTCTTGCTGACAGAAGTGACCCATTGCAATGTTTTGATGAAATTAGTTTTCGGAACCTTTTCGAAAGCAGAAAGTAAATGCTATGGAGCTTATTTCACTTTTGGAACCCAGTCTTTCATCTGTTAAACAAAGAGGACAGCCTGTAGCAGTCTGTCTGCAGGTGCTCATTATGCACTCCCTAGTTACCGTTTTCAACATCATTGCACGTCTCTGTATTCTCTGAGATCAGAAGGGAATGATGCTTGGTGACAGTGGGTATGCTCAAAAGACTTTTTTTCAGTGCCTTCTGAAAACACAATTCGATGCTGCACTGTCATCATTTCAACAGCTGTTACCTGCTACCTGAATCAGCATGGATGCCCACATCCCCAAATACAAGAAGATGACAATCCTGATGTACCACCATTTACAACAGACCACACAGAAGGACTTGCCTACAGAGATGCTTTTGCATTGTGTCACTTTAAATAGTTATTTTTGAAATTACGTTTTCATAGTTCTGTTGGGATCAGATACATTTTTACATGTAATGAGCAAATCAATGTATTTATTTAAAAGTAAAAGTGTATTTTTTTGTCTGATATATTAAAGAAACACCCAAACATCCAACATGATTTAATAAAACAATTTTTATTTCAGATTCATGCATTGTTGTGATATTTGATACATTTGCATCTCTCTCTCCTTCATCTTCATTTCCAGTTCTGCTTGTAAGATCTTCATTTTCATTTCATGCTCCTTCTTAGGTACTTTAACTATATGTGAATGTATATGAAATTCAAGAGTCGGTTTATCGTGGATTATGACTCTTGTTTTGGTGACCAGTACTGGCAGACACTGCCACCATAGCTTTTGAGGATGTGGAGGGTAAATGACCTTGCAACTCTTCAGTTTTGTCCCAGTTTATATATCAAATAAATGCACATGAAATGAGAAATGTTTCACATCAGATGAAAGAAACAGAAAGAAAAACAAGTTTGAATGGAGAGTAAGAAAAGGCAAAATAAACCCAATGTATGTGTGTGTGGTCCAACATCTGAACTGTCTAGATGTTTATCATCTGGTACGTTCTCCAAAGGTTGCTGAGGTTGATTTTTATATTCTTGTATTGAATATAATACTGTAATGTCAATCCATCTATTTCACAAACAGTAATAACGGTTATAATATAATATTATTATATAATATAATAATATTATTATATTTATAAATATATAATAACAGCTATCAAGGTAATCAAGTTGACAATTGACCCTTCGCTAAGCCCCGCCCCCTTAGTTACTGTTGCTAAGACCAACAAACTATCAGCGCCTCCACTGTTTATTACTGCACTCCCGGAGAAATATTGTCAAATTTGTTGGAAAAAGCATCTCAGAAAGAAGCACACAGTTTTGCAGTTGCATTATACATTTAAAGGTTGTATTCAGGCTGTCAAATTGACTCAAACTGAGTCAAACGGACGTGAAAAAAATGAAAGATACAGGTGCTGGTCATATAATTAGAATATCATCAAAATGTTGATTTATTTTTCAGTAATTCCATTCAAAAAGTGAAACTTGGATATTAATTCATTCATTACACACAGACATTTAGATATTTCAAATGTTTATTTCATTTAATTGTGATGATTAAAACTGACAACTAATGAAAATCCCAAATTCAGTATCTCCGAAAATTAGAATATTACTTTAGACCAATACAAAAAAGGATTTTTAGAAATGTTGGCCAACTGAAAAGTATGAACATGAAAAGTATGAGCATGTACAGCACTCAATACTTAGTTGGGGCTCCTTTTGCCTGAATTACTGCAGCAATGCGGCGTGGCATGGAGACGATCAGTCTGTGGCACTGTCAGGTGTTATGAGAGCCCAGGTTGCTCTGACAGTGGCCTTCAGCTCTTCTGCATTGTTGGGTCTGGCGTATCGCATCTTCCTCTTCACAATACACCATAGATTTTCTATAGGGTTAAGTCAGCGAGTTTGCTGGCCAGTTAAGAACAGGGATACCATGGTCCTTAAACCAGGTACTGGTAGCTTTGGCACTGTGTGCAGGTGCCAAGTCCTGTTGGAAAATTAAATCTGCATCTCCATAAAGTTGGTCAGCAGCAGGAAGCATGAAGTGCTCTAAAACTTCCTGTTGACCTTGGACCTCAGAAAACACAGTGGACCAACACCAGCAGATGACATGGCACCCCAAACCATCACTGACTGTGGAAACTTTACTCTGGACTTCAAGCAACATGGATTCTGTGCCTCTCCTCTCTTCCTCCAGACTCTGGGAATTTCCAAAGGAAATGCAAAATTTACTTTCATCAGAGAACATAACTTTGGACCACTCAGCAACAGTCCAGTCCTTTTTGTCTTTAGCCCAGGCGAGACGCTTCTGACGCTGTGTCTTGTTCAAGAGTGGCTTGACACAAGGAATGCGACAGCTGAAACCCATGTCTTGCATACGTCTGTGCGTGGTGGTCCTTGCTGATTAGAGTGTGGCACCAGGTGTCTTCAATATTGAACCATCCATCCATCGTCAACTGCTTATCCTGCGTACAGGGTCGCGGGGGGCTGGAGCCAATCCCAGCTGACATCGGGCGAAAGGCGGGGTACCTAGTCCGCATGTCTTTGGACGGTGGGAGGAAGCTGGAGCACCCGGAGAGAACCCACACAGACACGGGGAGAACATGCAAACTACACACAGACAGGCCGGGTTTGAACCCACAACTTTTCACAATATTCTAATTTTCTGAGATACTGATTTTGGGGTTTTTCATTAGTTGTCAGTTATAATAATCAAAATTAAAAGGAATGAACACTTGAAATATATCAGTCTGTGTGGAATGCGAAATGACTCGTTTCACTATCAGAATGTGATCCATTCGGTCGATAACAACTGGAAAAGGTTATACAAGCTGCACATATATAATTTTACCTCCATTCATGTTAGCAGAGGGCCAAACTGGAAGTTAGCCTGCAAAAGTCAACACAGTGGACGCTGTAGCGCTACCGCCGACTACCGTTTGGGGGTGTAATTGCAGAATGACGGAGACACCAACGCACAAGTATAAATGCATAGCTACGCACGTAGACCCTTCGCAGGAGTATAAATCAAGCTTAAGTAGTGAGTGATACAGATTTGAAAAAGTTGTTGTTAGTGACTGTTACTTGCTGAACTTTAGCTATGTTACTTGAGGTAAAGGAGATTGGATATATTAGTTGGCTATGGAAAACAATAGTGTTGATAATGTGAACGCCATTAATATTGCTCTAGTAGCCTATTTCAAAACAATATCATTTCCCATAGAATGTTGTTGTCAGTGAAAACTAAATGTCATAGTGTCCCTGTTAACGCTATTGTATATCCTTCCATTCATTGACCGGATGGATATTGAAGATATTCAGGAGAGAGAGAGAGAGAAGCAGGGCAGCTGATTCTGAGGTCAGTAGTGCTGTACAGGTCTAGGGAAATGTAGGCTGTTTTCTTTTCTTCAAACAATAGGCATTTGTTGGCAAAGCCTAAACTAAATTATTTTATGACATTTATTATATTTTCTATATTCTGATCCACTTAGCTTTCTGCATTCATTGGCTGTAAAAATTAAATAAATATGTAGATGTAGCCTTCAAATCCATTCCACTTGGTTCATTTAGAGTCCATATAAGTTAAACTCAATTCCTTATTTTTACTGCTCGCGCCTGCTGCACTGCAGCGACACAGCGAGGTAAAGGAAGCATTTTAGCATACCTGCTGCTCAGGTGCGTCTTTGTGCTCATATACACACGTCCCCCCAAAATCCACTTTTAAAATGAATGTTCATCATTTGTTCACCTGATGCTTTTAAAGGCATCATGTAGTCTTGTTGCAGCATTGAATTACAGTTAGACTTACACCATGTTGTTAGACACTTATAACAGAGTTATCTAACATTTCTGCTAGGCTAGCTAGCAACAGTAATGTTAACATTAATCAACCAGAGTTAGCTGCTCTTTGAATCCTGGTCAATGAGTGAAGCTAGCTGTGGTACTAGTGCCAAATCCCCCCCCCCCATATAACAGACTTCAGGATTGAGCAGTTTAGTAGAGCAACTTTAACATAGCATAGAAGCAGTAAGCTAAGAAATCAATGAGGCTTCTTCACTGGTTGTTGACACAAGTATAGTTCTAATACAGTTACAACAGATGTGATGTTGATGTACACCTACCCTGGGGGCTAAGCCCCTCCTGCCTTTTAATCCTAGAGACGTCTCTGTCTTGGCTTATTTTAAACACGGTCTGGGAAACCACCCCTATATGTCTTGAAATTATGCAATTGCTGGGGTTAAATTGTGAAATATACTTCAATGCCCTCTTACTGCGCACAGTAAGTTTGCATTCCAGTGCAGATTTATGGAGATAAGACTGAGGTCAGAACACAGGAACCTACTAAAGATACAGACATTGCAGGTGAACCTAAACTACAATAATTCACTGAGCATGGTTCGAGCTCTTATTGTCAGATTGAAGCATAACTCTAAATGTTGCTTCTCCCACACAAACAACCCTGTCTCATATCGGCTGCACACAAAATGTATTTAATTAATTAATTTAAAAGTGGT